CACTTTTGCTGCTAATGAAGGTGAAGCCAGTTTGTACTTTGTTGTCCTAAAGTACTTAAAAGAAAGAAGGTGTGGCTCAATAGGGTGTTGCACTAGTAATAAAATCATGTCCCTAGTCTCATTAACAATCATAGGATATTTCTTTGTTGGGTAAAGCTTTATAGTTACCCAGGATCAAACTAAACCCACCTTTGGAAGTTGAAACTTCACGACGGATGGTACAAATAGATGATCTACTTGATTCACCTTGTTTCATAAAATTCATAAAGACAAAAAATAAACATTTTGTAAGACAACATCGTTTGTCTAAGGATCCATTTCGTTCAATATTAAAAACTTATTCAGTTTCCAACCTTGAAGGAATGGGTAAGAATTCACCAAACCATGTCCCTTTTTGTCCACATAGAAGTTGTATAAAGTATGATTGAAGACGAATCGATATACATCATCTATTTGGGTGGAACACAATGTACTTGAGATGGAACAACCTTAGAGAACTATAAAGCTTAGTCCTTCGTTTCCTTCATCATTGAGCTTGTCAGGGACAAACTGAACATTTTCATATGCATTAATAGCCATTTGGACAAGTATAACACAAGTGGGAAAGATCCACTTGAAATATTTGTAAAGATAAAATACAAAGCACTTTACAATAGTAATTTGCTTCTTCTATTAAAGTTCAGAGGAAATCAGAAGGATTTGTTATTAAACCGTAATTGGTAAAAAAATATTCATTGTGTTTTCAAAATACATTAGATGTTTCCACTTCATGGTTGGTTATTCTTTACTTTCTCCTCTTTGCTGTTTGCTCTCAGATTCCTTGTCTTTTCACAAGATTATGCAGAAGCTACCTAAAATCATTATCAAGAATTCGACTTGGAATAATAAAAACAAAAGTAATAGAGGTAATTTATATATGAACATGACAACTGAAATAGAGAAAGTACTAATTAGACCATTGATAAATTCAATTATCTTTCTTTCACTAGCCAGCTGATTACTCATCACCAAAAGTGTTTGGTCTATATACCAACGATTCTTATCTCTCATCGTAGTACATATGTAATTGCAATTCATAATTTTAAAGTCAAAAGACTCACCTCTTCTCTACCAAGATCCATAACCTTCTCCTCGAGAATGCATGCATCTTCTACTCCCAGTTTCTGAATTAAAGACAGGTAATTCTCCATAGAAAATAGACTTATAAGAAGGTCATCGGTAATCATAAACTTATCTCCACTCTTGACAAATTGCACATCCCCTTTAGCCCACGTTTTAGGTGAATCCATAGTTTCTCGGCAGTGAGGACACCGTGCATTCGAAACAGAGCTAGCCAAGCAGGTGGCCTTGGAACAACAATCGGGCTTTCGACAAGCATAGGCAAGCCTCGGCTTAGGCTCCGTGCTATCAATATTTACTTTCAGATCTTCGCATCGTTCAGCTGCAGCGCTTTGAGGGAAGAGAAGCATGGTCTTGCATGCCTCAGTCTGGAAATTGCGCACATCAAGAGTCTCGACGCTCCCATACAATTTGTCCATGCATCCAAAATTAGATTGGTTGTTGAGGAGCCTGACGACGGTTCCCAGTGGCAGGGTGAGGAAGCTGAAGAGCATGTCTACAAAGTCGCTGTCCGCTTCGGCCAGCACCACCCTTTTCTTCGCCTTGTCCACCAAAAAACTAACGGTTACCTTTTGTTCACCGGCCATGATGAAATGTATGATCCCCCTTCCTTCAGGACAACCTACAGCATAGCGCAAGAATATGCAAATAATACGAGCCTACGCCGCAAATTATATAACCTTTAAATCGAAATTATTTAGAAAAATACTCTCAGTCAGTTTCCATGTCCACTTCCAAATCATTCATCACCCACAAACGTTCACTGTTGGCTTATATAATGTTCATCCCGTATAGTGAATAATATTCAATGTGTTATAATATCATGATTAATGTTCATCCCATAGAGATGTAGTTCAAATAATAAATTAATACTAAAGCGAGATGAATGAAATTACCATTTTTTTTATTTGGGGGGGAAATCTAAGGTCGTTGTCTCGTTTCTAACACTGAACCAGAACAATTTACGAACCATCGTATTTTGAAATTAAATCAAGATCAGCAAGATACCTTCTTCTTCTTCTTCCTCCTCCTCCTC